GAGAGAGAGAGAGAGAGAGAGAGAGAGAGAGAGAGAGAGAGAGAGAGAGAGAGAGAGAGGAGGCGGGAGCACTCGGCTGTGGAAACCCTGTCGCCGTGGCAGCAAAGAACGGGGTATGGGCGGGCTCGGGGTACAGGCATTTGACAGGATGAGGAGGACGGGGAGGAACAGCCATAGCTGTTCGTTGCGGCTTCCGAGAATACGCAAATAGCAGAAACAGTGCATAGCCGACTGTCTTACCTGCACCGTTCAGTTGAGGCAACCCAACGGTGTGACAGCTGAAAATGTTCATTTTAATTCGAATGAAAATCAGAAGTGCATTTATAAATGCCACCTATACAATTGTTCTGTTTTTCCTTTTTTCACAATTGTCGTGGCATACGGGCACTTCCACAGCAGAAAATGAAGAGAGGCGCCAGAATCCCGGGCTTGTACAGCTTCTCCAGGAAAACACCCTTTGGGGGAATAAGAGGGTCGTAGAGCTGGCTGTCTGGACAAAAGGAGACAGCTAACTCAACGGGAAGTCACGAGGGGAGTGGGGGTAAAATTCGTAATAATGGATTTACTTCTTTTATTGTTGGAAGAAAAAGCTATGATGGTTTCTATTGTCATTTTTATTAAAAACCGACCGCTAGATCACTTGGACTACGTGCATCTCCGTGGTCGTCGACAGTCCCACAGGGTCAACAACTAATCGTCGACCTAGCTGAACGGAGCTACCGTCTTCACCCGAATAGAACGCCCGGTCATTATAATAGCTGTATTTTTTGGCATAACTTTCGGTCCAGATGCAGCGATAAGGACCGGGCGTTCTAGTCGGGTGAAGAGGGTAGTGGGACATGGTCCCGGATGTATTTGCGCGCAATCACTTGCAGATTTCGTTCGCAAACGCCCAAGTATGGCCCTAGTGTATATCGAGTATCTTAGTGCCAACGGACTGATAGTCCTCTGGATACCCCGGACTGTGATAGTCCTCTGGATACCCTGATCGGTATTAGCGGGGTCTATGACCAACACGGGTGTGAGTGTGAGCGCCAGTGGGTTGTGTGTGGTGTGTGGGAGAGTGTTGGCCATAGCCTCTGCTTCTACTCGATGAGGGGTGAGGGACGATGAGAAAGGGAGGTGCATCTACTGGCAAAATGCTCGGTCTTTGCGTTAGCGGCCCCACCCCATCTCTGACTACTGCTGTTGGGGCGGGGGGCAACATGAATTAACTCTTTTGCGAGGCCCTATGCTTGCAGGGGTCCCCTCTATAAAGTCTTAGGAGTAGTGGTAGAAAGGGTAGTGAAAGGCGAAAAAGGATTTGACAGAAGAACATAGTGTAGTTTTAAAAAAAGGTATATATCCAAGGGAGGGACAGTAGTCAGCAAAGGTTGGCGCGGGCACGTGGCCGCCACAGGGTTAGCAGAGGAATGCAAAAAAAAGTCGAGCTAGGGTGGGGGGTGGGGCCGGGAAAGGAGCAGAGACTTCATCTGTCGAGGAAAACTGGAAGTTCAGACTGTTTCAGCATCCCATCTTATATATATGGGATGTCTGGCATGCAGTCGTTGAGGCTTTACGGTCTTTCCTTCCCTGCTAAAAATGGACTATATCAATCTCTGAGTTTTTGTTTTGATTGCAATACCAAGTCAATCTGTTCTGAAAAACAGACCGTGCAAATGGGGAAGGGCAGGTAGGCTGGCACAATAGCGCTCTGTCCTAACGACACTTGCCCAGGGTAAGGACATACTCAGACGGGGATGTGAAGTCGCTAATAAATATCTGGGGGTTTGGTATTATGTGTTTGTGCCTTTGGGTGCAGTCCCACACAAGTTGTGTGTCCACGGAGGACAGAGTCATGGCCCTGACATTTGTGCCTCACCGAGCTGCATGCAGCCACACTGGTTACACAGAAAAAGTATATAGAGATTTTTTTCGTTTTTCTTTTTTGAATGTTGAAATAACAAGCACGGGTGTTTTGCTCGTGCAAGAAATATTTCTTGAAATTCCTCACGGAGAAAGAAAAAATAGAGACTACCTCTGGAGGTGGTCTCAAAGGGTCCTCCTGAGGCCATGCATGCTGCTGACAAAAGGATGAGCGGGCCTCTCCAATGTGACCTGAAAACTGCCTCAAATTTTGAGGGCACACTCACACAGTGCATAGCCAAAATCGTATGCCCGATTTGGGAAAATAGTGGCTGGACTGGTCACACTGCTTCCCCATTTCGCAACAGACAAGGTTGCAGCTGCCTGGATTTTGGGTCCCTCATTGACTGCTGCAGTCACACTGCGATATCGCATTTCCTGGCAATGTCTTTGTCTTCAAATTTCTTTCCATTTCCTCAGGTTGTTTCCAAACAAGAAAGGGAATTTGCGGCCACCCGGAGTTATCCTAGCAGCCTCAGCCAGTTTCGCTTACGAGCTAAGCTCGACAACCAAACTAACTGCTCCAAATATCTCGACCAAACTGCTGGAAACCGGGTCAAGCGTGGGTCAAGCGTCCCATCCTAAGATGCTTTCCAAAAAGTAAGCTTTAAAGCTCAGGGTAAAAGGGTGAGCTATCTAACAATGACTAGCTCAAAAACAAAACTTCTCCATGTATCTGCTGTAGACTGGAGGCGGGCTTATAAGAGCCAGATAGAGCCTGAAAACCGAAGTCCCTCCTCAGAACAGTCTGCATTCACGCTATCAAATTCATCCAAACTTAAACTTTAAAGCTCATCAAAGAGGACCTGAACATTCTGAATGAACTCTTGACTTTTGTAATCAAATCTTATTTCCTAACGTCACCTTCGGAGGCCTAAGTTGGCCTGTCCTGAAGCTGAGAACCCCTCAATCTTTTTCCTACTAACCACATGCTGCTAAACCATATTCGCAGTCTCTACCCTTGTTCTGCTTCCTTCAGCCGGGCTACTCTCTCTCCTGAAGTTTACCTAAACCTTCCCCAATCGGAGCTCCGAACAGGGCTGGTGTTCGCCCGAGGCCTCCTTAACTCAACCATTGGGCCACCTTTAAACCACCAGTACTTGGCCCAGCTATTGAAGCCGAGCCTGAATGTGGTATGTGCGCCAAGTTTCGCCGAGCCCCCTCCGCGTCGTTTCGACTTTCTTTTGGCTGGAGCCTCCAGCCATTGTGGTCCGGCAGCCTGAAGCCCCGCGGTCGCGGCGCGTTAACGGGAAACGCCTGCGGCCGATGAATGGGCCAAGTACTGGTGGTTTAATATACCTTCCCCTTGGATCCTTGCAAACTTAGCTTTAACCCATGTGCTGTGGAACCACAAGCGGTCCTTTCGTCTTCAATCTGCAAACATTGTCAGTCCGATTGTGGCCTTGATTTGGTTCTTCGACTGTTGGAAGTTTACTTCTTCCTTTTGAAAGATTTTTGCATTTCGCACTGCCCAGATAATTTCCATCACTATCCCACGACAGCAAAGGGCTATATAGTTCTCGGCCTTTTGGCTAAGATCAAGTGTAGTATATGTTCTGATAAAAAAAAAAAAAAAAAAACTGCACCTGTGACCGCTGCACAGTTCAGAATTCGCAGAAATAACAGTGCACTGCAAGATTGGGCCATCAGCAGTTCGAAACAGCAAGAAAAACAGTGAACTGCGCGTTAGACGGCCTACCGGTTCTATAATCGGCAAAACGGGAGTTGTCCTTCAGGACATCCATTAAAATTGGAACGATCGAAATATAACGCAATAACTTCTCAAAAAAAAAAAAAGATCGAAATATAAAGCAACAAATTCTCAAAAAAAATAAAAAATAAAAAAAAATCGAACGATACAGAGAAGATTAGCATGGCCCCTGTGCAAGCATGACACGCATAAATCGAGAAATGGTCCAAATAAAAAAAAAGAAAACAACGAGAGGTGGCCTGGCCTAGCAGGCCCTCCCGTTTTTTTTTGTTTTTTTTTTTGGCTTCTGGCAGGGATGGGTTCGGGGCCTTCGGGCAGGAAAAGCCGCCTACCACACCCACCCCACTCT